CCCCCCCCCCCCCCCCGCCCCAGCGGCCGCGTCCAGGCCTGCCGCCCGGTAGCCTTCCCGCCCCGCGCTCCCATCGCGCCTTACCTTGGCTTTGCCGGCCTCCAGCTTCTTCTGCCTCTCCTGCTCGTCCATGGCCCCTGCGCGGGAGACAAGAGGGTTACAGCGCGCTCAGCTAAGCCGCGAAGGGAGACTTGCCCCAAGCCGCCAAAAGGTCCCTCGCTCGCGGTCAGCCGCACGCGCTCTGCCCGTCTACGGGGTCCGGAGACGCCGCGGTGGACCCACCGGCGCCGCCATCTTCAGCTCCACGTAAACATGCGGCCGGGGAAAGTGACGTCCGCGCCGCCGCTTTCCACTAAGAGCCACCTCGAGGCTTCGCAGAGAGGCTTTACAAGGCGCCAGCCGAAAAACGGGTGGTTGCTGCGGTGGGCACGCTCATTTCTTGATTTTACTACGTTTCCATTCTGGTTTTTCTCTGGGAGCTCAGAGAAAAACTACTTTTTCAACAACAACCCTGCGGGGTAGCTTGGGCTGAGAGAGGGGTTGGCCCAGAGTCGCTTCCGCTATTGAATGCAAGCTTGGATTGGCGTCTCCCGGCTCCTAGTCCAATACTTAAAAGCAGTGGTGATCAAATTGCAGTACTGCAACTCCCTAAACGTAAAATGAGTGTGCGTGAACTATGACAAGAATAAAATGAGTGCTAAGATTGGGCAAGAAATAAACGATTCAAATTTTAGCGATTATGGTGAATGATTTATTCTCAGCTGCTATGTATTTTAATTTTTGTATTATTGTAATTTGTTTTATTTTTAATTTTGTTCCCCGCCCAGTCACTTGTTGCGATGGTTGGCCATACAAATTGAATGAATAAATAAATAAAATTTAATCTATGTATCACAGGGATTCTAAAACTCTGGGGTAAAGCAACTGCCCACTGAATTTGCACTGTAAAATAAATTTAGACAGTGCTCCTACTTCAGCTGCACCAGCCTGCTTTAAAAAAAAACAAAACCCAGAGTTTGAGAAAACTTGCCCTAAACCCGTATTTTTCAAACTTGGCAACTTTAAAATGTGTGGAATTCAACTCCCAGGCAGCATGCTGGCTGGGGAATTCTGGGGGTTGAAGTCCACACATCTTAAAGATGCCAAGTTTGAGAAACAGTGCCTTAAACAGTACATCAGGCTGGCCCCTTCACAACCAACTAGAGTTTAACCCCAGCTTTATTTTGAGCTTGTCAAGTGGGAGTAGGATATTTCAAGCAGAAACAATGAAAGAAGTTTTATGAGGACCTCAGACACGTGCAGTGGACTCGTTGCCTTTAATCATATGATGTACTTACCCAGCAGCATAGTTAACCTCTGTAAAACAGGGCTTTTAATACCATTTATCAAGTGTGTTCTTATACAGGGTTTTACTTTTTTCCCCTAAGTTTTTTTTTATTAATTCAGTAAATTGAAAGAAATCTTAATGAAGTAACTGTCCAAAGACCTAGAGTGGTCCAAATCCAAAGCTATATTTATGTTCCTTCAGTTTACATTCCTCAGCAATATCATCAAAACCTATGGCTACAATTCAATATTCATGCTATAGACTTTCAATTTAAAGTCTGTCCTTTACTGAAGTACTGTGCAAATCTTCAGAAAAACTGCAACAACATTTATTAGGAATACTTAATATTTTAATGATTTAAAATTATTACTTTGCTGAATTTGAAAATACTATTAGTTTTGCAATGCTCGTTTTACAATACCAAAACTACAGTAATTATATTTCTTGATATAGAACTTCAGTTCTTGCAAATCTTATAATAATTATCCTTATAAGTATTCAGAAAAGCTAATAAATAATAAAGAAATGAAAGTATATTTTCTTAGGATAAAATCCAGAATCAATTAAATTGGTGGAACAAGAGAGAGACCATTCTAAGTGGTGAAACTCTGTATGCTAATTTGATATGCCTGCTGTATCTGTTGATCTTTGTATTCTGAGGCATGGCTTTGAAAAGCAGTTTGTAAATGTGTTAAGTAGATAAAAAACTTAAGTGTGACTACTGATTTTTAATTAAAAAAAAAAATTAAATACATTTTCAGGTGAATAAGGAGGTTGTTCAGCATCAAGGCACCATTTTTCCTATCTCTGACATAGGATCATAATGTTCTTTGATGTTATTGCACCAGAGTTGTTAGCTGATTGTTCTTAAAGTGTAAAATTATGTACTTTTATTGTCTTTTGTTCCAATGTGGGTTCTTTCAAAAGGAATTGTAATTTTAACAGTAATATGGCTTACCTCATTAACTCCAAAGTTTATTAAAGATTCTTAATAAAGCAAAGTTAATGTTTATTAATTTTTTATGTATTACAGTTTGTTATTAAAATTTATTTATTTTATTCAGTTTCTATAGCCTCCCATCTCAGACAAGTGACTCTGGGCGGCGAACGAGCATGAAAGCAGTTAAAACCAATACAAACATAATATATCTCAGCAGAGAAAATTATAACATTAAGTATCAGTATAGCCATGAGACAGGGCCAGAACACAATTGGGGCCCCAGGCTTGGGTACATAAGCAGGTCTTCAAGTCCTTATGAAAGGCCAACAGAGTTGGGGACATCCTAATCTCTGGAGGGAGAATGTTCCAGAGGACAGGGGCTATGGCAGAGAAGGCACACCTCCTAGTCCCTGCCAGCTGACATTCCTTAGCTGACAGGACCTGTTGCATGCCCAACCTGCTGGATCAAATTGGATGGGTAGAAACAATTAGGAGATGGTCCCTCAGGTAACCTGGTCCCAAACCATGAGGGCTTTAATGGTGACAACCAGCATCTTGAATTGCACCTGGAAACATACTGGCAACCAATGCAGCTCATGAAGCAGTGGTGGTACATGTGTCAAACATCCAACACCATTTACTACCCATGCAGCTGCATTCTGCACCAGTTGAAGCTTCCAAATACTCTTCAAGGGCAGCCCCATATGGAGCACATTGCAGTAATTAGATGGGAGGTCACGTGGACATGAGTGACTGTGAGCACAGCTTCCGGGTCCAATTTGTTCTATTGTATTGATTTTTTAAAGAAACAATATTTCAATAAAGACTCTCCCTATATTGATATAGTTGCCATACTAGTGTTCAGTTGTTTAGGCAGATGAGTTTATGGCCTGTGCACCTTAATCCCATTTATACTTGAATACAGATATAATGCTTTGCTCACTGCCATCATATCTGTTTCAGCCCTAATGCCAAAGCAAATTCTAATAAGCCATGTGACTGTCAATTATACTACATTAAAATACTCTTGCTGGATTTTGTAAATTACAACATGAGTTTCCAAAAAATCAGTACAAATGGGAAGTTTGCTTTCCTTTTAAGTTTCTTCACTAGACTATATAATATATTTTTTGTTTATGCTTTCAAGTCAATCTTGATTTCTGGCAAGTACATAGACAAGTCCATCCAATTTTCTTGGCAAATTTTTTTGGAAGTGTTTTTCCATTGCATTGCATTCCATTGCATTCTTCCTAGGGCTTGAGACAGAGTGATTTGCCCAAGGTCACCAAGCTGGCTTCTGTGGCTAAGGCAAACAAGAATCTGGGTTTCTCCACCCCTAGGTCACTCCAGCATCTAACCCAGGGTTTCTAAACCTTATCAACTTTAAGATGTATAGACTTCAACTCCCAGAAGTCTCCAGCCAGCATGCTGGCTGGGGAATTCTGGGAGTTGAAATCCACACAACTTAAGGTTGTTGAGGTTGAGAAATGCTGACCTAACCACTAGACCAACTGGCTGTAATATAGGGCATAGGAATGTTTAAAATCTAGAATGTTTGTTTGCTTACTTATCCTGACTTTGGAAATATATAGTTGATATATACTATAATTATTACAGTAAGAAGTGTAACTTCACAATTCATTAAAGAGTAATAATGTTTTCTATCTTTTATTTGTTAGGTTGGTAGTTATGTTGGCCACCAATTCTCATCTGACCATTTCCATTATACTGATTGCTTTTCCCTGTGTGTAAAATGAAAGCAACTGAAACATCCAAATTCTTTTTCATCTGATACCACCATTTATTCACATTGCCAGTTGATTTCATAGATGGTAACACCAAAATAGGCAACAAGTAATAATGTCAACAGCATATGCATTTATCTTATAAAGAACTGCATTAACCAAATTATTGGGCAGTGAAAAACTAGATTTTATCCCTATGTCCTGCATCTTTAGCTTTATAATTTGCCAATGGGGTTAAAATCTGAAAGAAAGAATGTCTGTGAAGAGATTCATAACTTAAATCTTTGAAGTGCTATGAAAAACAAAAGAGACACCTACATTGAGGAAATGTCTGTGCCTGAGGCATTATTTGATCAGGTTCTGCTCATATTTCCATGAAGCCAAGTAGGTGTTTTCATCCTGCTTTTGTAAAGCTAGGATGCTGATTTTAATCTCCAGATGTCAGATTATATATTAAAGGTAACCATGAAGTTTATTACTATGGAAAAAAAGGAATACTTATTCAGTATTCATGACCATTTGGTACATGATTTCTTTCTTCTTCACTAAATTGTGCAGTGTGAAATATTCCACAGTGGAGTTGAGCACAGTTTTATACCTAGGTATCCGAGAATACAGTGGGGTTTTCTGTTGCTATGGGAGCAACAAGAAAGGGTTTTAAGTAACACTCATCATTTGCATAATTCTAGAAGAAGATAAGAGAATTCTGTTTCTAAATGGGGTTAATAGGGAAAGAGAATTTGGTGAGAAGCCTGTGTCACTATTGAACTTTGCCTATGTCTGATCTATTAACCTTATGTATTCTACTTAGAGTCCCATTCTTAAACTATACCTTGAGTCAACATAGAAACTGCCCAAAACTCTTGAATTTAGATAATCTATAAGCTCTGGAGTGCAAATAAACTCCACAAAAAATAACCAGGTTCCTATTGATCATAATGATATAGGCAATCTTGAAAATAATGGTGTTAGTGTTGGGTGCTGAACAGAAGAACCAACATTATCAGAATGATTTCATACTACAAAGTAGGCCCACAATCATTCACAACCAGATACAGCTACATGTTAAAATCATGTTCATGCAATTAGCATACAGCTAAAATGCCAGCATCAATTATATGCTTCTTTGGTCTTTTCTAAATTTCTCTTATGTCCTTTTATTGCTGTTCTGCACAGTCATTTATGCCAAGATTGTAGGAAGAAAAAAAAATGACGTTCTGTAACTACATATATAAGGACATTTCAAAGGAACAGCATTTGCTTGGGGATGGAAGTTGAGTAGTTAGTACTAGATACTTGTGATGATAGACAAAATTCTTATTAATGTGAAAACACAAAAAGAAAATGTTGGAATATAATAACCTTTCCTGAACAGCTTTTATATTACATTTATTACAAATGTACTGTCTAAAATGGAATATAAAAATGTTAATGTCAGCTAAAACATTAGGACTGATTTTGACAAATTAAATTATTTTCTATATTAAAAAGTTCATGTAGGAGAATATGTGGAATATCTATCAATTGTTCTCTCAGCTTTTGATTATGTAATTGTCATTCAGAATTAAATTTTGCTCTATAAAATAAATGAAAAAAACTATAATTGTCAGCTATCTTTTTTGTTTTCTTACAAGATGCTCCAGTATGGGTTGGAATACAAGTATATAGTATTACTTTAGAAGAATTGGAAAATTAATGCAAA